ATTTTTTTTTATTGGAGTTAAAATTAACGTAGATATATGACCGAACCTAACCAACCCTACCTAACCTAACCTAACCTATATTTATAGGTAAGGTTAGGTTAGGTAGCCAAAAAAAGCTAGGTTAGGTTAGGTTAGGTAGGTTAGGTTGACGAAAAAACATTAATTCATGAAAACTTGGCTTATTAGGCAAATCGGGCCTTGAATAGTAGGCTGAGAAGTGCGTTCTGGCTATTAGGTACGACATATATATATATATATATATATATATATATGTCGTACCTAGTAGCCAGAACTCACTTTTTGGCCTACTATTCAAGGCCCGATTTGCCTAATAAGCCAAGTTTTCCTGAATTAATATATTTATTCTAATTTTTTTCTTATGAAATGATAAAGCTACCCATTTCATTATGTATGAGGTCAATTTTTTTTTATTGGAGTTAAAATTAACGTAGATATATGACCGAACCTAACCAACCCTACCTAACCTAACCTAACCTATCTTTATAGGTTAGTTTTGGTTAGGTAGCCGAAAAAGTTAGGTTAGGTTAGGTTAGGTAGGTTAGGTAGTCGAAAAACAATTAATTCATGAAAACTTTGCTTATTAGGCAAATCGGGCCTTGAATAGTAGGCCAAAAAGTGAGTTCTGGCTACTAGGTACGACATATATATATATATATATATATATATATATATATATATGTCGTACCTAGTAGCCAGAACTCACTTCTCAGCCTACTATTCAAGGCCCGATTTGCCTAATAAGCCAAGTTTTCCTGAATTAATATATTTACTATAATTTTTTTCTTATGAAATGATAAAGCTACCCATTTCATTATGTATGAGGTCATTTTTTTTTATTGCAGTTAAAATTAACGTAGATATATGACCGAACCTAACCAACCCTACCTAACCTAACCTAACCTATATTTATAGGTAAGGTTAGGTTAGGTAGCCAAAAAAAGCTAGGTTAGGTTAGGTTAGGTAGGTTAGGTAGACGAAAAAACATTAATTCATGAAAACTTGGCTTATTAGGCAAATCGGGCCTTGAATAGTAGGCTGAGAAGTGCGTTCTGGCTATTAGGTACGACATATATATATATATATATTAGTATATTTTGGTAGCAGTCTTTCCTGTAGACATATATTATTAAATATGACCGAAAAAGTAAGATTAATAATTCTAACACGAATTTTCTCAATCTTTCGTACATTTCTTTTCACTGTTGGTGGTAATTCAAAAATCAATTCTCCAAAATTCATTTTTATTTCTAGTCTGACGCGACACTTGAGCGCGTTTCGTAAAACTTATTGCATTTTCAAAGACTTTAGTTTAAACATACACAACTTTTTTATTTTTATTTATTTTTTTATTTATTTATGCATATACAAGAATGTACATAAGGAATGTGAGGATACAAATATGGTAATTACAGTCTTGTAAAGCCACTAGCACGCGCAGCGTTTTGGGCAGGTCCTTAATCTAAGAAAATTTTAAGGAGGTAAATACTTGCAAAAATTATAGACAAAAAAATGATAACAGATTACATGAAATGAAAAAAAGATTAGAGAAAATTGTAGGTACAGTATATTAAAGCACATAGGTATCTGAGATTGATTGCAATGACAGCTTGAATGGTAGTTGACAAAAAATTGGTAGGCACAATACAGCAGAAACAATATAAGATTGGTTGCAATGACAGCTTGAATGGTAGTTGACAAAAATTGGTAGTCACAATACAGCATATGGCTAGCACATAGAAGAAGACAGCAATGAACACAATGATAAGGTTGTTTGATATTACATAAAAATTAGGAGATTGGGTAACACTAGGTACAGAGCAAATTTAAAGCTCAGTGTAGGAAACTAAGAAGATGAAGTTAGGTACTTTTTGGTTTTGCTTTTAAATAAGGCAAAAGTTTTACAGTTTTTCAATTCACTAGGGAGTGAGTTCCATAGACTAGGTCCCTTAATTTGCATAGAGTGTTTACACAGATTAAGTTTGACCCTGGGGATATCAAAGAGATATTTATTTCTGGTGTGGTGATAATGGGTCCTATTACATCTGTCCAGGGAGAGTTTCAGAGCATGGTTTGCATTTGAGAACAGGGTTTTGTAAATGTAGTTGACACAAGAGAATGTGTGGAGGGAGTTAATATTTAGCAAGTTTAGGGATTTAAACAATGGAGCTGAGTGTTGTCTGAAAGCAGAGTTAGTTATTATTCTGATAGTAGATTTTTGCTGTGTGATGATGGGCTTAAGGTGGTTTGCAGTGGTAGACCCCCATGCAGACCCTGAATAGAACTTACACATCTCCGATTTGTTTATATCTACATTTGAGTGAGGTGGATGGGGTGAGGTGGTATTTAATAAGGTATTAATTTCATCAACACAAGACAGAACACGAAACAATGGGTATTGAATAGAAGTGATTGTAGAAAGCCTATTGGTCCATATTTCTTGATGCTTCTATATTGGAGCGGAGTCTTGAGGTGGGTAGAATATAGTTGTGCTTTAATTGGCTGTTGATTGCTGGTGTTGACTTCTTGATGTGTAGTGCCTCGCAAACATCAAGCCGCCTGCTATCGCTGTATCTATCGATGATTTCTGTGTTGTTTACTAGGATTTCTCTGGCGATGGTTTGGTTGTGGGAAGAGATTATATGTTCCTTAATGGAGCCCTGTTGCTTATGCATCGTTAAACGCCTAGAAAGAGATGTTGTTGTCTTGCCTATATACTGTTTTTTTTGGAGCTTACAGTCCCCAAGAGGGCATTTGAAGGCATAGACGACGTTGGTCTCTTTTAAAGCGTTCTGTTTTGTGTCTGGGAGTTTCTCATGAGTAGGTTGGCCGTTTTTCTGGTTTTATAGTAAATCGTCAGTTGTATCCTCTGATTTTTGTCTGTAGGGATAACGTTTCTATTAACAATATCTTTCAGGACCCTTTCCTCCGTTTTATGAGCTGTGGAAAAGAAGTTCCTGTAAAATAGTCTAATAGGGGGTATAGGTGTTGTTTTGGTTGTCTCTTTAGAGGTTGCATGGCGTTTCACTTTCCTTCTTATGATGTCTTCGACGAAACCATTGGAGAATCCGTTGTTGACTAGGACCTGCCTTACCCTACAGAGTTCTTCGTCGACTTGCTTCCATTCTGAGCTGTGGCTGAGAGCACGGTCGACATATGCGTTAACAACACTCCTCTTGTACCTATCTGGGCAGTCGCTTTTGGCATTTAGGCACATTCCTATGTTCGTTTCCTTAGTGTATACTGCAGTGTGGAAACCTCCGCTCTTTTCCATGACTGTTACATCTAGAAAGGGCAGCTTCCCATCCTTTTCCATCTCGTAAGTGAAACGCAGCACGGAACTCCGCTCAAATGCCTCCTTCAGCTCCTGCAGATGTCTGACATCAGGTACCTGTGTAAAAATGTCGTCAACATACCTGCAGTATATGGCCGGTTTCAAGTTCATATCGACCAAGACTTTTTGCTCGATGGTACCCATGTAGAAGTTTGCAAACAGGACACCTAGGGGAGAACCCATGGCGACCCCATCTACTTGCTTATACAGTGCCCATCCGGGCTCAAGAAGGGTGCCTCTTTAGTACAAGCTTGGAGTAGTTTCCTTAGGATATTTTCTGGTATGTCAAGAGGAGTACATATTTTGGGGAATATAAACCTGGATATGCGTATGGAAATGTCAAGACACACAAGCCTGGAAACCCACTTCGGCCAATCATTAGCCAGATACCCACACCCACGTACAGACTAGCGAAGCGAATCAACGGCCTGCTGACTCCTTATGTCCTTTGCGCCTTCAGCCTGAAGTCGCCAAAGGAATTTGTTGACTTACTGCGGGGCACACGGGCCACAGGAATAAGAGCCTCGTTGGACGTAGAATCGCTGTTCACCAACATACCAGTGGACGAGACAATCGGGATGATAGCCGACAGAGTGTATCGTGATCCAGCCTGTACTCCTCTTGACATACCAGAAAATATCCTAAGGAAACTACTCCAAGCTTGTACTAAAGAGGCACCCTTCTTGAGCCCGGATGGGCACATGTATAAGCAAGTAGATGGGGTCGCCATGGGTTCTCCCCTAGGTGTCCTGTTTGCAAACTTCTACATGGGTACCATGTAGAAGTAAACTTATTACTACAGGACTTAAACTTATAAACTTATAAACTACAGGAAACTTATTACATTTTCAGACTTTTAGTTTACACACACACAACTATTATCTGCAAACACTAAACAGAGTTCTTAGTATGCTATGATTTAAACAGCTTTCATTTTTCATTTTATACCCGCATTTTGGGTGAGGTGATATGTTACAACAGTTTTGGATGAGGTGAACAAAACTTTACAACACAGGATATAACACGAAACAATGTGTATTGAAGGTAAGAATGGAAGTAATTGCAGAGGGCCTATTGGCCCATATTTCTTGATGCTTCTGTATTGGAGCGGAGTCTTGAAGTGGGTAGAATATAGTTGTGCATTAATTGGCTGTTGATTGCTGGTGTTGACTTCTTGATGTGTAGTGCCTCGCAGATGTCAAGCCGCCTGCAATCGCTGTATCTATCGATGATTTCTGTGTTGTTTGCTAAGATTTCTCTGGTGATGGTCTGGTTGTGGGAAGAGATTATATGTTCCTTAATGGAGTCCTGTTGCTTATGCATCGTTAATCGCCTGGAAAGAGATGTTGTTGTCTTGCCTATATACTGAGTTTTTTGAGGCTTACAGTCCCCAGGAGGGCATTTGAAGGCATAGACGACGTTGGTTAAAAAAATTGAGCTACTCTTATTACAAGCACGCTACTTTTAGACCGTCAGCTCGCTACTTTCAGCAATTTAGATCTGGCAACCCTGTGACCGGCAGTGATGTCAGTTTTGACGGCAAAGATGAAAGCAGATGTCCATTTAAGTAAGATATTTGGCCCTTTTTCCGTCTAAATCCTGCGTTTGACCACATCTCCCATCATGGTAGTGTTGGGGGAGTGTACTGGGTGTGGCCGAGGTGAGGGTGTAGTGGTGGTGGAGGGTGATGCCAGGAGTGGTGGGGGGATCAGCTGAGAGTTGTTGTTGTGGTGGTGTGGTGCTGTGGGCCTCTTGCTGCATGTGAAGGTGAGACCAGCTGGCAGGGACCACCATGGACTTGTTAGCAGCTGGCAGGAACCACCATGGGCTTGTTAGCACCTCTGTGTGTGTGTAGGGCTCATTTCCAGGCTGTATGGTTGATGCACGGGGGGAATAGGGGTACAAGGTTACAGCATTTATTGGGGGTACAGAGCTGACACAGTTACAGGACTGATGCAGGGAGATCTGAATTAATACTGAGTATGGTCAGATCATACAAAAGTTTCAACAAAGCTCATTTTATAATTAAAACTATTGCCAAGTTAGGCTGGGTTAGGTTAGGTAGGGTAAGTGAAGGTTAGGTTACCCTAGGGACTTAGAACCTTCCTGGTAAGGGGGGGGGGGAGAAGGTGGCAGGGCTAATGAGCTGGGGGCTAGTTGGAGGAAGTTTTGCTTGGTTGATTTCTTAATATTTTGAGGATGTAACCCGCAGTTTTCAACTAGACAGTGGTCTGTTTTGATTCGTTTACCTTTCTGGGTGTCTGCCCTGGGTGATGGCAAGATGACATACTTTAAATGTAAAGTGCTTATAAACCATTGCCCCCTGTGCTTCTGAGGGGGCCAGGTTCTGGCTTTGTTCTTTGGTAGGCAACAAGAACTCTGTGACCAATGTCCACAAATAGGAAAGCACTATATCAGTGAGATAGCTTCAGGGAGCCTCTGGGACTCACCCAGAAACTGGCGTTTCATTACATTCAATGCTCGTTTTTTGGCCTAACTATTTTTTTAATATTGACAGGATGAGTGGCATGTGGGCAGTGGCTGTAGGTGTGGCAGAAGAGCTGTGGCTGGACATTGGTGACTCCATATGGGTGGTGCTTGAAGCTCTCCACTTATCTCCACTTGTGCTCAGGCTGAGGGAGGAGATGGTGAGTTCTGGCTCACGCAAGAGGTCACTGGTTCGCATCCTGGGTTCAGCCTTGCCTTTGAAACCTGTGCAGAGGCCGTATTTAAGGTAATGAGTTTTTATAGATAAATAATTTCACTAATTTCAAACAAATTTCTGAGCTATCCCACTTGGTTACTTACCATGGGAAGATCCTTCTTTACTTCCGGTTTGGATCCGGCACATTCGAGGCAGGTACAAATTTGTTTAACTCCTTGTCTGGTCATACTGGTGACACAATGGAAAATATTCAATCCAGCCCCAAAATGTAGACAGAAAAATGTATTACTTCAACTCAAAAACTTTTTCTAATCTTGGGATAAGGGACTGCTAAGCTGTATTTTGCTAACTACTGAACACTTCAGAGGGTCATTAACTCTAATTGCCAGAAACCAATTCAGGTTATTTTTTTTTTTACAAACCCATTGTACCTTCTTGTGAGTACATAATATTGGTAATTTAACATTCTTGCAAAGCCACTAACACACAGCGTTTCAGGCTGATACCGAAACAGATATAGTATTTTACTTATATTATCTTCAGTAACTTTGTTGTTTGTGCTGTAGGCTCAGATTAATGAGTACCTCGTGTGTGTGTGTGTGTGTGTGTGTGTGTGTGTGTGAATATGTACCAACCAGTGACAATTTATCTTCTATGCATCTGGTTGGTTTGTGGTTTTCAGCATTGGTGATTCCCCTTTTTGAGTTTCCTGACTGCATATAAAGTTATTGCTTACAGTTCTGGTTCAATAGTGAACTAGCTGTAGTTTTCTCAGGAGTTTTCCCATGCCTTTTAACATTTGGTTTTGTGGCCAATAGTGTGTTTATGTTGTGGATGAAGCACGTTCTTCACCTGTGTGAAGAACGCAGTCCTGTTTGTTCACACTTTTTATAGCTATTCATTTCTGTAATTATTTTTGTTCTGGGAAAGACTTCTTTGCTCATCCTTGCCATTTTTAGTTATGGTAAATATTAAATATAAATAATCCAAAATAATATATAAATTTGTTTGAAATTAAAAATAGTAATAGGTTATTTTGAATGTATCCAGTTTGGTAATATATAGAAAAGTGCTGAACCTGGTTGTGTTTGTATATTCTGTTTTGGTTGCCAGGTGCTCTTTATTGTGTATTAATGCAAGGTGATCATCTACTCTGAAGGGCTCCCTCACAGCCCTTCAGGGAGAGAATGAGAGAGAGAGAGAGAATGAGAGAGAGAAAGAGAGAGAGAAAGAGAGAGAGAGAGAGAATGAGAGAGAGAGATTGAGAGAGAGAAAGAGAGAGAGAGAGAGAGAGAGAGAGAGAGAGAGAGAGAGAGAGAGAGAGAGAGAGAATGACAGAGAATGAGAGAGAGAGAAAGACAGACAGACAGACAAAGAATGAGAGAGAGGGAGAGAGAGAGAAAGAATAAATGACAGCCTGTAATAAAATCATTAGTTTTAAATGCCTTTATTTTGATAAATACTGTAACGGGTAATGTTCTTCCAGGTATGTTGACCTGAGAAGTTTGAGCACATCATGTGACTCCCTCTTCTCGGCTCACACTCAGGGTCGCATAGAATCCAGGTGGCTGGCTGACACAGAGTGCTCTTCTAGATTTAGGTGAGTACTTTAGCCCTATTATAATTTTCATGTGCTATTTAAGACAGTATGGCAAGCACTATATTATAATGCAATGGATTTCCCAACAAAATAGGAAAGAACATGATATTTAGCCGATTTTTTGCTAATGCTAACCTTTAAATTTTCAACTTCCATAGATTATATATATTATCACGCACATTGTATATTATTACATGTATATTAATTTATTTGAAATACAATATTATAGCTACTATTATTAAATAGTTGTGTTTCATAACCTTGTTTCCTATCATAGTTCTCAAGACATGATTCATAATTGCTCCACATTCGTGACTACTTAGTGTCATCACTAACTAGTAAACTAGGAGATGTGGGATGTCATCCTTTGATCTATAATTATAATAAAATAATAATGTTTATTATTTGTTTATTCAGGTAAAAGTACATACTGTATATTCAAAATGAATTACTAGTACTCTTATAGTACTAGTACTTGGTACTATAAGAAGTACTGTACAAGTACTTATTATAGTACTGTATAGTACTTGGGGCCCTGACGGCTGAGTGGACAGTGCACGGGGTTCGTAGTCCTAAGGGTTCGGGTTCGATCCCGGCGGAGGCGGAAACAAATGGGCAGAGTTTCTTTCACCCCTGATGCTCCTGTTCACCTAGCAGTAAATAGGTACCTGGGAGTTAGACAGCTGCTATGGGCTGCTTCCTGGGGATATGTGTGTGTGAAAATTATTATTAAGGACTTTCCCATAATGCTATGCATGCTAGTGGGTGGCTGTACAAGAATGTAAGAACTCTTGTATATACTGTACTGTATAAATAAATAAAATACAAAATTAAAATACAATGTGCTTTGGACAAATGCTTTCCTTCGCTATGATAATGGAAAATGGAGCTGTTAATATTAAAAAATTATTAGTTACGTTGTTTAAAACAAAGACTGTATAAGATGTATTAAGAGATGCACTAGCCAACACTAAATGATTTTATATTGTTCCGTAATATGAAAATTGTAAGCTAAAGAATTTTTTCCAGATGTTAACTTTACATATTTGTGTTTTATGTTTGTTGTTGTTTACCAAAAAAACTTTTATGTTCACAGACCCATTTTCTCACGCTGTGACACAGCACCGGAACTCTTTCCTCTTGGTAAGGATAAAATTGACAATGGGAATGGTGACTCTACCCCGAGATCGTCAACACCATTCAGTTTGACATCCGAGATCGGCCCACAGCGCAACAGTTATTTACACCACAACTATTTGCACCACTCTCAAGATACACTGGTGTCTCAACACCCTCATGATAGCTTCCAACACAGCACTTTGAATCTTACTTCAATACACGCAACATCTCCATTTACAGACCCAACAGCATTAGCTAAAATATCAGCTTTAGAGGATGAGCTTTCTCAGCTTCGCTCACAAATTTCAGCAATATTAAATCAAACAAAACGTCCAGTCACCCCTCCACCAAGTCCTACCTTTCTGACAGCGCCACCACCACCACCCCCACCACCACCACCTCCACCACCACCCCCACTCCCACCCCCACCACTGAGTAAATGTTTTTCACCCCTTCCTCTCCTTGAAGATACCAATAAAAACACATCTTTTTCTGAATTAATTGCACAAAATAAAGAAAGCATTAACAAGCACACAGCACCTTTAGATGTGTCAGTCATTAATCAGAACAACAACTCAAGACCAGTGTCAATGTCCGATGTTCTCAAGGGCCTCAACAAAGTCAAGTTGAAAAAAGTGTCCAGGTAAGGATATGTTGCATGATTGTGTATTATGCTGAAGCATTTTGCAATAGTGTAGTACACTGCTGTTACTCATTGTCTGCTGTCTGGATCATGTCTTATCTTCCCAGTTCAGACCTTGAATGTGTGACTTGCCACTTCCTAGGTGTTGTGCACGAGTTAGTTGTCTCCTATACTGTAGTTAGCAGTGGGTAGTTGTTCTGGAGCATGTGCTTCAAGCAGGTTTATTTGTCTTGTCTTGTGTCAGTTTAGTCATTTTATTATATCTAATCAGTTCTAAGCCTGCCTGCCTTGCTGGTAACATTTCCACAGGGATTCTTTGCATACTGTGGTTTCTGGTGTGGCCTCTGTCATCTATGATGGGGGTATGGTTGTTTTCCTGTGGTTGTCTGGTTTGACAAGATATATTGGTGGCAGTACCATCTTACCTTATGTGGGGTCCTTGCCAGTTTAAGCATGCTTCCTTGCTCCATATTTGAAGAATACAGAGTTATCATTCAGTATCTTTTTTTCTTTTTCTTTTTCAATTATGAGTTAATATTATAATCAGCAATGTAGGCAGTCTCTCTAAGGCAAGGCTGTAAACAAGAATCAGTCTGGTGAAACTTGTGGGTAGAGGTATGCCAGAAGAGGTGTTACTCCTGGCTGATGTGTGGTGGTATTGAGAGTAATAGTCTCTTCAGCTAGTTGTCTCACATTCTTACATACCCATTAGTTGCTGATTTGTTGACAGGGGGAAGGGGGGCGAGGGGAAGGATTGGTGTTTAACCACTTGGACAGTCGGAGATTGAATGCCTACATACATGAAGCAAAACCATCACTCTATCATCTATCCCAAATGGTTGGGTACCAACCATTCCTTCCTTCCCCCTGCTCCATCCCAAATCCTTATCCTGATCCTGATTTCGTGTATTGACTGAGGAGAAGCACCTAAGTCGGGTGAAGTGTGCAAACATGGGAGTTCCAGCTGTCGGCACTGATGTAGTTGCTACGGGTTCATTGTCTTCAAATCTTTATCTAGTACAGTTCCATGTAGGTTGTAGAGGTACTGTACAGTACATTATAAGCTGTATATGTATTGTACAGTGTATTATAGGCTGTACATTTACTGCACAGTACATTTAGGCTGCACATGTACTGTACAGTTCAAGCCTAGGGAAAGGCTTGTCTTGTGACAACTGGATCAGTAAGACTGTTGCTTGGAGTGGTCTGCAGGCCCACATAGCCACTACAACCCAGTTGGTCCAGCACTTTCTGCAGAAACTTGTCCAGTTTTATCTTGATATTTCCACTTGTGTTCCGGCAATATTTCTTCTGTTTGGTGTTAGGAGGTTGAAGAGCTCTGGACCTCTGATGTGTTCTCTGATTGTGTCCATGACACCTCTGCTTTTGAGTCTATTTTGCACTTCCTGCCATAACTTTTGCTACAGTACAGTGCTCTTAGCTCATCCTCTCCTCTCATTTCATGGGTAATTCTTCACCATAAATAATGTGAGGTTAGACTGAATGCATAGATAGGCACATGCATTTTAAACTTTATCTGTCACATTCCTTCAATTAATTTAGAATTCATGTATTGAACCTAGAAACTAGTGAACTGATATTTTGTTCCAGTATAAAAATATTTTGCAAAGATACATGTTGTCCTTTGTTGAGACCAGTAACTTGTAATGATGTTTTGTTTATTTTGTATTATGTTTTTTGTAGTTTGGGGTTTAAAGTTTTCTACTGTATATGTATCGCTTGCTTTGGTCTATAATCATCAGGTCCCCTGGTGGAACACCAGTAAGATCACGACCAAAATCACCGTTACCAGGTGATCCCGCATCAATTATTGCAGCTGCACTGAAGAAACGCTTTGCAAATATGAATTATACCCCAGAGAAGGATAATCATGACGAGAGCAACGAATTTAGTTCTTCTCCAGAAAATACCCCACAAATAAACCGCAAAATCCGGTCTGAAGTCCCAAAATGTAAGCTAGTCGAAGAAGAACCTCCTAAAAAGAACCTGTTTCAGTTGCTGAAGAAATCGCCTCGAATACCTAAACCCAAGCCAAAAGAAGAAGAGAAGCCTTCACTTCCAATAGTAAGTTGTTTATCTTGGGTTCTCTTAGCTAGTTTGCAGCCATTATTGATGTTATTACTGCAGACTTGTGCTTATATATTAGTGCATATGAGTTGTGAGATGTAGTTGAACCTTGCCTTTTGGCTATTTGTACCCTGGTGCATTTTAAAATGTCTTAATATTTAAGTAAACATTCATACTTCCTTTAGAAACTGTTGATGGAGGTGACTTCCACAACTACTACTTTCAGTATTTTCTGCTTGTTAACTACCTGCGGTCTCAAGGGTGTACCTGTATTTCCTTTTGTGTGTGCATGTATGTGTGTAATTACGTAAGTGTACTTATAAGGATGAGAGCTATGCTTGTTGTGTCCCACCTTCCCTGTAATCTTTGTTATATGATGCTTTCAAATTTTTTATGGTTTTGGCATCCAATACTTTTTCACTTAAATTGTTCCAACTATCGACAAGTCACTTCACAAAAGAGAACTTTTGTATATTTTTTTGGCTTCTTTGTTTCCTTAACTTGAATATATAGCATCTTGTTCTTGAAGTTACAGGTTTAAAATATCCTCTGTGTCAACCATGTTGATTCCTGTCACGATTTTGTACATGTTGATCATATCCCTCTTTTTCCTTCTATCTTTACCGTTCCTGTGTGTTCTAGCTTCCAGAGTAGCCACTTGTGTGGGACTATTAATAAAAGTCTTTTTTAATAGTCAATAGCATTTATCTTTCCAGATAGATGCTATTGGCTCATTCCTCTCTTTCCAGTAAGATCTCTGTGGCTCTATCATGAAAATTAAGTATTGTAGATTTGTTATACAGAAGCTTGCAGTTCGAAAACTATCCTGACTTTTTGGTATTATTGTGTCATTTCTCTATAGGTATTCTACCCATTCAGCTTTAATTATTTTCACTAGTGATTAGTCTACCACATTATAGATACAGGTCTATAATATAGTCTTCTCTATTACCTATTTGTAGATTGGAACTATGTTTGCCTTTTTCAATGTTTCTGCCAAGATGCATATTCTCTCAGAACCTAAGGTGAAATCTGGCCTGACAACTTTGTTTCTGCATAACTCGGCCGTTTTTCTCCCTCGTTGTTTGACACATTAAGGCACTCTGGGTTATGATCTAAAGTCTGCATTGTGTTTGGTTGTCTGAAAATCTCATTTTGCAAAAACACACTTTGGAATTGTTCCCTTAATGTTTCACACACATCCTTTTCAGTCTGGGAATCATTTCCCAGTTTTACTTTCTGGGTTTTATCCTTTACAACTTTCAATTAAACTTTACATGTTTACAGACTATGGAGGAGGTAATGAAGTTTTCCTTGTAACTTTGGGTGGACTTCAGGTTGTGTTTATTTTAAAATTCATTGTGGTCCATAAGGTAATGTGGTGACCTAGGATGCGGGTTTGATTCCACTGCCCTGCTCCCAAGATTTTCTCTTTAACAGGTACTCTTGACCACTAGTTATTTTAAAAAGTCTGGATGAGATGGGCTATATAGGAAGATGGGCTATAGGAAGTGAGAAATGTCTCTTAAGTTACGTTTTGGCTACACATTATTAACTCATGGGCACTTAAGGAAACGGAGACCTGCACCTTACAGTCAGAACTGCATTGCTCTACTAACAGTCGTGCATCTATTGCTAAAAGGTTCTGACCTACAATATGAATAGAAATGTTTCTTCCTCTTTATTTCTCATTGCCATTTGTCCTTCGATAAAATTTTCAGGAATCTGATTGCTTTGACTTTGCTCATCTTTTGTGTTTCAGGACGGTCATTGGCACCCTGGATGATATCTGGGACCTCATGACTACTCTTATAACACAGCCAGTGCTATACAGCTTCCTGGGCTTATTGCTTTCTTTGGATAATTAATTAATTACTTTTAGATTGATTATAGGAATATTTGAAGTTGGACAATAATGCATATTTCTGCTATTCTAGAGTGAACAAATGTTTATTTTCTTGCAGTTTGGTCAGCATCTTTTGAAAAAACGTACTTCTGTAACGCCCGAATCAAGAGACAGTGCAAGCCCTTCTAGTGAAGCATCGGATCTCTCACGGTGACCTGCATAACACGCTTTAATTGCAGCTGCCCCGAAATGGACCCTACGTCATTTTTTTGATGAAAGAGGATCTTAAAACAGAAAATAGTTTAGGTTGTCTTTATAAAATGAAATGTGAATGACTCAAAATACTTGTAATATAAAAATATTTTTAGTTACTGCATTTATAAATAAAATACAAATGTTGCATTTATAATCTCTCTTGTGATAAACTTAATTATTTTAAGTGTGTTCTTCAATACCTGATTCATACCTGAGAAGGAGCACATCTTGCCAGCATTAATGCACTTGTAATAATAGTATAGAAAATATTGACTTATTTTTTCACACACAATTGCACAAGTAAAATTTAGAATTTACTGTTTAATAAACATTTATATTTATACTCACTGAAAACACAGTAGCAGGAGATGTCTGTGAGGAATTATTGGAGCAGGGTGAGCTTGATTTATTACTTAAATCTTGATTGGAGTTTATTACAAAGATTTTCAATTCAGTTTCTTCACTATTAATGACATTTAGTTATTCAGTTTGGGTTTTATACCCACGTGTGTATGTAGAGAGGCAAATAATGCATTCTTAATGCAATGTTGGTGCTATATCTTAAGTGTGATTGACATTACTGTACTGTATTGCACCACATAAACTTAACAGTTCTCCCAGGAGTAGTGTGCTGTTGTAACAATGTTATGAGTACTCTAAGTCATGGCCTGAAAGGTTGTTAAGGTTACAGCAAAGCTCTGTATGCTGTAAGAAAAGTCATTAAGACTACAGCTAACCTTCTTATACAAGGAACACAGCTGTTTACTGTCAGGGGCCTAACATTGTTTTGTGCCTACTTACTTGCCGTCATGAAGTGCCTAGTCGACGTAATTCTATATACAGTACAGTATACATATGTTGGTGAAATATTTAAGGCAGTTTGTTGTACCATCTGTAAATAACATTCCATCACTCGACTCCAAATGATTTCGGTCAAAAACATTACAAATTACTTTTATATTTGACCATATTTTTATTATCTCATTGTACACATTAAAAACAAATTTAATGATCTTTTAACTAACTCGGTAACTTTTATGATTCATTGAAGTTTATGAAAGTTATCGATTATGATTGCTACCTTCACATGTATGCAGTAGCTCTGTTTTATGTTCTTGTGTTTGTTAAATATTTATCAATTAGTATCTGATTCTGTGAATCTTCATACTATAAACATCATTAGTTTAAAATGGACAATGTTAAATTTTTGTTTTAAATTTTGGTTATATTGCAGCTGGTGTACTTGCTTTAGCAGTAAATACAGTGCAACCTCAATTTAACAAACTATATGGAACTAACTCCAATTGGTTGCAGTGAAGGATTCGCTGGAACAGGAGTTGCCTTCTGGAGGCCCATATTTGTGAACAAAATCAGGAAATCTCAAAAATAAAACAAACCATAAAATTTAGTTTTAAATGTGCTCATTAGTTTTCCCAAGACCCCAGCTCCTTTCTTTTAATTTTGCATCCATCTATGAAAATCATTAAAAATGTATTTGGAGCCATATTAACATATCAGTAGTTACCATTTCATACTCTAATATTTCCAATGCTCAATGGGCAGAATTCACGAGTGAAATTTTAATTTCAACCTCATGAAAGACAGCTACCAAGAGAACCTATATGTAGAGAGATTTAACCACATTTAGCATATTTCCCATGCCCAAACCTTGAAATACCATTTTCAATGGAAGAAGGGGCCCCTATTTTTCTAAATTAAAACCTCTGCAACTGAAAATAAAAAAATCACAGAATTTTGTTTTAAATATATTCAATGGCTTTTCCAAGGCCCTCCACACTTATTCTAACCTTATGACAATCTGTGAACATCATAAAAAAGTTGATTTGAGCCCTACTAAAAGTGTTACTATTCATACCCTCATATTTCTCATTCTTTATGGACTGATTTCATTAAGGAAATGTTTAATTTTAACCTATGATATGATGGGCAACTTTTCCAGCAGTCTGTGAACTCTGTCCCAACATCCTAAGCGAATCTGCACATCCCCAACTTCAGTAGTTTGTATATTCGGGTGAGTAAATCCAGCCTGGAAAGTGTGCATTCCAACCGAAGATTTGCCGAATTGAGGGTCCACTGTACATTAATTTATTGAGGAATTGTAAAGAAATTGAAATCTTTTTCTTAAGTGGATTACTAAAAATTTATTGAAAAAAAAGGCAAGTTTTTCAGTCATGTTTTTAGAAAGTAGGAAATGCATAAGTAATTTTTTTAAATAACGAATTCTTTGAAGTAAATTATATTTGTTATTAACACTTAACGTTCCGACCCATCAATGCATATCTGACCTAAACATTTCGAGCACCACCGGTTTCCACTTGGCGACGCCTAAAATTTTTGTATTTTTTGAGGGGGGGGGGGGGGCGGTGGTTATACACTAAGTATAAGTTTGGTGTCAAAATGTTCATAAATGAATTTACTAGAGGATAGATGCAAAACAAAATGTATTTTAATAATAGCTTATGGAGCTGAATAAACAAACGTTTATGAACATTTCAACATTTCTTGTATATTTTCCAACATAAATAGAAATACAAAAATATGGAATGATATTTAAATACAAAAATATGGAATGCACACATGATTGGTCTATATTGCTGTAAAAAGAAAAGAAGCATAATTTGTCATACTTATTAGATGATTTCCAAGGCATTGTGAAAATATTGTATTCACAAGCAGAGGAATGATCATCCCGAGTGATCGGTAATTGACCAAGGTGATCTGTCGGTGATCCTCTGATAATTTGGTTTGTCCCCCCCTGATAATCTATCAGGGGGATGTTTTCCAAAATATAAAAAATATAAATTAAACAGTTTGATTTTCTGGAATTTTCTTGAGATGGCTGATATATTTTAGCATAATGCTAGCATGTTACAGTAATGATATAAGTTTAACCTTTGCACTGCTCGAATTATCATATGCTATTTTTTTCCATTTGATTTGTGAACTGTTTTTAATCATTCACATCTTGTGATTTGTGAAGTGTTTTTAATCATCCATATCTTGATGTAGGATTTTTAAGTAGCTGTGCTGTCTAAGGGTTGATGAGGTGTTTAATATATGTTTGAAAACTGAAAAGAAATAACTTTTGGGTACTTTGCCACTTATCAGTCATCAAATTGTTATGCTCTACACCACCACTGTAACAATACAGTAACTACAGACACCTTATTTCCTCACGGGCTATTCATGCCCGCGCCACCTCTTGGGTGGCTTAATCTTCATCAATCGCCTTATTTCCCTTAGTTATTTATGTATAAGGTATACTACAACCTTATACAAATGACTACTACTACTATGTCTACTGATGTTTTATATGCTAGTTGTAATTTTTTGTTTCCTTCTCCCACACTTAATCACATTAGAAATAAATGTTAAGTGCCTAATTGTGATCTTATGATGCTCAAAAATATCTCAAGGGATATGAACACAATTATCTATGTCTAAAATGAAAGTACAGTAATCAAACCTGGGTGCTGTGTCAGCCCCTAAATAGTGTACATATTTCAAGTTTTGTCTTTGACACATTGTATTTAACTTTTGTGATAAATTAAGTAGCTGTATATAATTTAGGTAGAGTTAATCTAGCAGAGTGGTTTTTTATTTTGTTTTTTATTCCTGCTTGAAATTCTGTTTGATGCAAACAGTAGATGACAGCTCTAGCTTTATGGACTGTTTGCAGGTTTATGATTGATATGTGACCCAAGATTTATAGTTCTGATTCACTGTTGTGTTGTATAATTCTAACTTCATGATTGATCTGTCTCCCAAGAATTATAGTTCTGAATTACTACTACTATATATAATGGTAACTGTATGATTGATCTGTGACCCAAGATTTATAGTTCTGAATCACTGTGTTGTTGTATAATTCTAACTTCATGATTGATCTGTCTCCCAAGAATTATAGTTCTGAATTACTACTGCTATATATAATGATAACTATGATTGATCTGTGACCCAAGATTTATAGTTCTGAATTAATATTGCAATCTGTAATGTAACATCAGAATATGTTCCACCAGCTATATTCTTTGCTCAGGAATATCTCATCTTCAGTGATTAAAAACTGCTCTCCTTCATTGATTATGTATATCACACGTTTCCGTGCTTATTTGGTAGCTTAGATATGAAGGAAAAATCCATTATCAGTGCTATGTGGCAGCCACTTTCTGTTTAAGGACAGGTGTATCTCTCTCTCTCTCTCAGAACAGTATTTGTATAGGTGTAGATCATACTATTGTATCTTGTATTGTACATGAGAAATATTTTAGAAGCTGTCGTGAACAAAAATGACAGGGACCAAACCAACGGCAGTCGCTTTTTACTGAGCAGTAGGCAAATAAAGTACAGTATTTATCTCAGCAATGTGTATATAAGATACTCCACTGAACATCACTCCGTTTGTTTTGGTGAGATGTGTATGCACACACTTTCCACATGAATTCAGTGACTTATCTACTACAGCGGCTAATATTTTATTTTTGCATCAAATAACAAAATATATTTTATTTTATTTACTGAACATGTAGAGGTGTTGAATGACATCGTTGAACTGTAATATTCTCCCATTGCAGCTCACTTTTAAGTGATACTCATATAATTTTCTCTTTTGTTACTATATCTTTGATGCTTTGCTCCATTGGGACCTGAAGGTTGAACATAAGAAGGATCTATCTTAAGTTATCATTTATTTGTGTGCATATAATTATGGTAACTGTATAATTAGCAATTGATCACACAGTCTTAAAAATTAAAAGTAAGTTTTTAATGCTTTTTTAATGTAAGTTTTTTAAGATTTCTTGCATATATTTTATCATTGTTGGTATTGGCTGCTGGTGCTTAACCCTTAGACTGGTGAATTTTATTATTCAGAAAATGCTTATGTGAATTGTTAGCAGACTAAAGGTTAACTGGTCCTTTAAGGAGGCCTGGTCGACGACTGGGCCGCGGGGACGCTAAGCCCTGGAAGCACCTCAAGGTAACCTCAAGGTAACTACACACTGCAAAAATGGCTCTGGTGCTTGAGTTTTCGTGTACTGCACTAAGAACATTGATTATACTGTGCCATATACAGTACTTAAGCTTTGTAAAAAAATATTAATAACTGAATTTCAAAATTGATTTAATAATTTGCTGTCCGCCTCCTCCCACTGGGAATTGTGCATCTCTCATTGTTTTACTCTTATGTTTACAGTATTGTACTTATGTTCCATTTTTTTTACTTATTAGTAGTACCTACATCATCTTGTATTTTACTGTCTTCAGCATTTTACAAATTCTGTACTGCAAATATTTTAATTAATAAATGTCAAAGAAAAATGTCTACCGATCCCTACTGTATATAATGGATATCCATACTCACTACAGTGCATCCGCCCAAATCTGGACGGACACCGCTATAATGGATCTCTTTCAGCTACAGATTTAATCCACCTACCAAATTTATCTTGTTGGATCTTTATATAAAAAAAATAAAATCTAGATTTGGGAGGAATCTAGATTTGTAAGGTATGAAACCCAGGTAGATGGTTCATCATATAAAGCAATTAACACTTTTATTGCTAATTTCATATTTTTTTACTAATATTGCATTATTACTTGTAAATACTGTATTATTCAAAATACATTTGTGCATTGATAACTTAAATATGTTTTACTAAGCATGTAATTTTTATAGCAGAGTTTGTGATAATTTCTGGAGGAGGTTCCACACATCAGAGCTTGACGTCTTTCATAGACTGAACCTGGCCCACTCAGAAGTGTGGGGAGCAGAGGATTGTTATGATCAGCCTCATTAAGGAAACGATCAGAAAGTAAGCAAAGCAAAACACAACTGCAAGGTTCACAGAGAAACAAGTGAATCAAACAACTCGACAAATGTTGAAACTCGATGGGTTTAAGCAGACTCGGTAGTCTGTTTAAACCTCTCTAGTTACACCTGGCTACTTCCAGGTGTTGCTGGCTCTTTGACTCCTCTTGAATGGCTCTAAGAGGGTTGGTCTTTCAGGGTTTATTGTTAAGGGTGAATTAGATTGCTAGTACATTCAGCATGCCAGTGATCCTTAGGTCTGTGTTTGGCATCAGTTCGTTTGAAGAGCATCCCTAGTGCCAGGGTGTCGTCCTGCATGGTCCATACCTTTAGGCCCTGGTATGCCCCATTGGTCATGGGTGTGTGGCGCGTTATAGATCACTCCGCCGAACCTGCACTTACTGCTTGCGAGTTTGAGAGATGTTCGTCGACATTGCTATATATCGATGATCATTCATTCTGTCTGCCATATTGCCTGTTAGGTTATTGATATCTTCCACCCTGAGGCCTGTGACATGTGTGCTCACTGAGTCAATTTTAGTAGAGAATGCCTCAATGCTTATCAGGAAGCAGCTGCTTTATGAGTTCATTTTGCCTATATTCACTGTATGTGGCTTGGTGCTCGTGAAGATGCCCTGGAGCTCAGTTTGCCTCTGTGATGTGTAGGGACTTGGGAGTTGGGGGAGTTTGTGAATTCTATCCGCTCTAAGTTTGCCCCCCCCCCTCCTCGTTTCCACCTGGCATGGATTGCCTGGCCTCTTGTTCTTCCTTCTCAGTTTGCCTCAAACGGTGGAAACAGTTGAGTCATCCCCTCGTGCTGGGGATTCGGAACCTATTTATTTCTCCAGAGTATGCTTTGTCCCAACCCTTTAGTTTGGAATCATACTTTCCTCTCTGTTCAGGAAACAGGCATAGAATGCAGGTCTGATCTCGAGTCTTCATATTTGCCTTTTGAGGCTGGAGGAGGAAGGGGAAGCCTATAGAGGGTCACTGGGTGCCCATCAACCCTTCTTGGTCTTTAGGGTGGAAGTATCTGTGGAAGATATTTTTCCCTGGTAACACTATTACTCTCTTATCTGTCCTTATCTCATTTATGGTATCTGTGCTTGGGGTTATACTACCCAAAATCATCTATGCCCTCTAATTACCCAACACAAATCTGCTATTAGAACAATAACAAACTCTAGCCCCAGACAGCACTTCGGCTCCCCTTACTTAAATCGTTGAATATGTTAGGTATTAAGTTACTGCACATCCTTTCATGTGTAATCTATATATATATATAACTGAACTGTTGCCAGTCCTGACCTTAAACGCTTCATAGAAGGTTGTAACAGAACCCATGGGCACCCACACAAGAAACAAATACCTATTTGATATGCGAAGAGTGCGACTTAATCAAACTAAAAATGCACTACAAATCAAGGTACCCAGAATGTGGAATGACCTTCCCAATCATGTCAAAGACTGTCTCTCTCAACCAGTTTAAGAAAAAACAAAGTACTACCTAATCAACTCTAAACCTACCTCACCCCCTAAATGTCAAACTGTTTTCAAACAATATTGATTATTGACCAACTTGTCTGTGTGCCTTGCTTCCCGACCGTCCCTCGCGGTCACTAATCCTTCGATAGAATTATTGGTTTGGTGAATCAGCAAGATAGATACCTTTGATATCGTTCGCCTTATGCTCTTTTGCTCTCGCATTGGCATCCCTAGTGATATTTAACGCCTTTTGAATAACCCACACGTTTGATGATGCTACATGGCCTTCCCGGCTTTGTGTCTCTTTTGATAATTATTTAATTGCTGATATCCGCAATGTATCAACTTGAAAAAAATTGTAGTCTTCTGTTTACTTAGTTAAAATTACTTTTGCTGTACTGTTGCAATTTCTGCTGTTCCATCATCATCTAATTATTAGTACAGTATTCTTTTATATATATATATATAAAGTTGCAGCTTCGGTGGGTAGGCGAATCCATGGGTTAATTTATTTATTTACTTATTTATCTAACATAATTTTAAGTAGGTAAACTAGCAAAATTTATAAAATGATAACAGACACATTGCAAGACAAAAAATGAGATGAGAGAGATTAGTAGGTACATTAAAGCACATCGATAGCTCTTGATTGATTGCATTGACAGCTTGATTGGTAATTTAACAAAGATTAATAGGCACAATACAGCATATTGATAGCACATAAGAAGATAGCAATGATCACAGTAGTAAAGTTGTTTGGATTAGGTACATAAAGATTGGGAGATTGGGTAGCACAAGATACAGTGCAATTTTACAGCACAAGGTAGAAAACTGAAGATGAAATTAGGTACTTTTTTATTTTATTTTTAACCCTGAAACCCTGAATAACCTTGAAATATACTAGCTCTATCTAGAAATCGAACACTATGTTTGTAACTCATTTTGAATGTATGTACTTTTCTCTGAATAAACATTATCTTATCTAATATGGTATCTAAGCGCAGAGACTTCATCTTCAAGAGAACATATACCTCAACCTTTCCACCGCTGCCCTGCTCGTCTCCTCGGCTTGGCGCCTTCTTTTGACAATTACTTGCTTGAGGGAGAATTAAGGGGTCTTGTTGGTCATATTAAGTCGGTATGATATAAGCCAGTTTCGGCAGAAGCATTTTATGAATATCTAATTAAGGAGGTAGATGTATTTAATGCAACATTGAACCGGAAAACATCTAGTATAAAAAAGCATCCCCCCAGAATAGAAAATTATACACAGGACAAGATGCTTAAGGGGTGGACATTAACAATGAGGAGAGCTCACAAGAATTGGAATAGGAATGGTAGGACTGAGGAAGGGAAGAATGCTTTACTGGCAGTTGCTAGGCTGTGTGGGGAGAAGACAAAAGAAATTAGGAACAAGTATTGGCAGGAGCTTGCAGAGAAAGTTGGGAATAACAGAAACTTGAAGGAAATCTGGCAAGACGTAAATAAAGTAAGGGGTAAAAAGCAGAATTTTGTTGCACATCCTGACCCGCAAGGAATTGCAAATGGTCTTGTAAATAAATGGGCGGAAGCTGCCAAACTTAGTTCATTACCCGCTATAACGAGAGAGAGTTATTAGATTCTTGGAAAGATCTAAGAAAGGATTTTATACTTGCAGCAGGTAACAGTGGGGATGTCACTTGCACAGGTACTACCAGAGAAGAACTAATAACGGCGATTAAAGTTGGGAAATCTACCGCCCCGGGAAGGATGCAGTAACTTATGAAATACTTAATGAACTTGCCATTATGACAAAAAGCCCACTGTTAGACCTCTTTAATATAGTTATAAAGAGGGCAGTAGTCCTAGTAAATGGAAAAAAAGCTGTGACCATCCCTATCCCTAAAGCCAATGGATAGTACAGACCTGTGTCATCAACCTCATGTTTTTGAGGTTGGAATTCGGCACACCTCAAGGAGGAGTGTTGAGCCCAACCTTGTTAAATATACTAATGAATAAGATAGCATCTGAGAGATACTCATACACACACACATTAGGCTTATATCGAGATCCCATGGTCGAATTACTGACCCTCCCCAGGATGCAACCCCGCAACAAGCTGACTAACTCCTGGGTACCTATTTACTGCTAGGTTAACAGGGTCATTAGGTGATAGGAAATGCGCCCAACCATTTCTGTCCCGCCCGGGATTCGAACTCTGAATTCTCGATTATGAGTCGAGAACGAACCTGACTACAGCTCCCGGAACCCTTAATTTTTTTTTTTTTTGCAGGGACATTCCTGCGCGGGCCCTAAGCCTCTGGCTGGCCCACTAAGTGTTGCTTGTTTTACTTGGGCGGAGTATGAGTATTTGTGACTTAACCCTTAAGTCAAATTTGAAGTCATTACTTAAATAATGAGTTAGTAGTCCGGGTTTTTAGTTAATTTATAGTATAAAATATAACCAAATGGCAATATTGCCAAATGAATTACGAATATACGATGCAATTCGTATACTCGTATTGGGAGGATTTACCGGACGTCAATCCTTAACTGTAGCCTCTGTTTACCCAACAGTAAAATGGGAACATAGGATTAACGACTTACCCGAAACGCAACGCGTGCTAGTGGCTGTACAAGAATGTAAAAACTCTTATATATATATATATATATATATATATATATATATATATATATATATATATATATATATATATATATATATATATATATGTCGTACCTAATAGCCAGAACGCACTTCTCAGCCTACTATTCAAGGGCCGATTTGCCTAATAAGCCAAGTTTTCATGAATTAATGTTTTTTCATCTACCTAACCTACCTAACCTAACCTAACCTAGCTTTTTTTGGCTACCTAACCTAACCTTACCTATAAATATAGGTTAGGTTAGGTTAGGTAGGGTTGGTTAGGTTCGGTCATATATCTACGTTAATTTTAACTCCAATAAAAAAATATTGACCTCATACATAGAGAAAAGGGTTGCTTTATCATTTCATAAGAAAAAAAATATAGTAAATATATTAATTCAGGAAAACTTGGCTTATTAGGCAAATCGGGCCTTGAATAGTAGGCTGAGAAGTGAGTTCTGGCTACTAGGTACGACATATATATATATATATATATATATATATATATATATATATGTCGTACCTAGTAGCCAGAACTCACTTTTTGGCCTACTATTCAAAGCCTGATTTGCCTAATAAGCCAAGTTTTCCTGAATTAATATATTTTTTCTAATTTTTTTCTTATGAAATGATAAAGCTACCCATTTCATTATGTATGAGGTCAATTTTTTTTTATTGGAGTTAAAATTAACGTAGATATATGACCGAACCTAACCAACCCTACCTAACCTAACCTAACCTATCTTTATAGGTTAGGTTTGGGTAGGTAGCCGAAAAAGTTAGGTTAGGTTAGGTTAGGTAGGTTAGGTAGTCGAAAAACAATTAATTCATGAAAACTTGGCTTATTAGGCAATTCGGGCCTTGAATAGTAGGCCAAAAAGTGAGTTCTGGCTACTAGGTACGACATATATATATATATATATGTCGTACCTAGTAGCCAGAATGCACTTCTCGGCCTACTATGCAAGGCCCGTTTGCCTAATAAGCCAAGTTTTCCTGAATTAATATATTTTATCAAAATTTTTTCTTATGAAATAATAAAGCTACCCATTTCATTATGTAAGAGGTCAATTTTTTTTTATTGGAGTTAAAATTAACGTAGATATATGACCGAACCTAACCAACCCTACCTAACCTAACCTAACCTAACCTATCTTTATAGGTTAGGTTAGGTTAGGTAGTCGAAAAAACATTATTTCATGAAAACTTGGCTTATTAGGCAAATCGGGCCTTGCATAGTAGGCTGAGAAGTGCGTTCTGGCTACTAGGTACGACATATATATATATATATATATATATATATATATATATATATATATATATATATATATATATATATATATATATAAATGTATAAATACAGACATTCACAAACTGGCAACTTTCCAATTCACAACATTTAAGGCCGGCTGAGCTGTGCAGACGTCATAACCTGAATCATGTCTAATATGCCTGAATTAAAGACCGCATTCAAATCATATTACACTGATAAACTGCAATGCAATTCAACCGTCTTGAGATGTTGCACTCCGAGCAAAGGTTCATGACCTTAGGCTTTCAAACTTGCCGCTAAAAAATCACAAATCACGGAGCGCGTTACAAGCCGGCAATGGCGGGAACCAATGAGCTAGCGGGACTCAGAGCGTGGGTGACGTTTCGCGCCATATTCCCCCCCACAAACACACACGACTCCCACACGGGGATGGTTGCGAGTGCGGCTCCCTCAAAATACTAAGTCAGCATTTAAAGTGATTCCCGGCGAGTCGCAGTGATGGCCAAAGTGCACATAGTGAACGTGGTGGTGCTAGATAACCCGTCGCCCTTCTTCAACCCCTTCCAGTTCGAGATAACGTTCGAGTGCGTGGAGGACCTCCAGGAAGGTGAGCACTCTGGAACACTTGCACTCCAGTAGGGGGAATTATTAGTTGGTATAATACCAGGGACTGGCAGGGCGTGGAGTGCTGGTGTGGCCAGGGTCACCTGGACGTCGGAGTTGTTACGTGACAGTGCCAGCAGCGGAGTGCCGGTTGTGGTGTCACTCGTGTGTGTGTGGCACTGTTGTCCTTCAGTGTTATGGTGGAGGTTTGTGCCACAGATGGTACCATAGCAAGCCGGAGGCGACTGCGTCAACGGCCGTGGCTGGCACTGCACTTAACAGTTTGAGTGAAGTTTTGATTTTGTTGCAAGTCTTTTAAGTGGGCAGGAATAAGTAGGCATCAGTGACGTCACTCCACACCATATATAAAACCTGGTTTTGTTTTAGGTTCTAGTGTAGGAACGCTGTAGCAGGCATAATTATTGGTCATTTTTTAAACCCTTATCTAAGCAGGACGGTGGTTTAGACAAATGCACGAGCTGTCGACCTTAATCCAGTTTCCTCTCCATAATGACTTACCCTGACCATAATGCAAACCCGATTGTGATCTCGACCACCGTAATCAGACTGGTTGGATGGAGTCTTGTGTGTGGGATGGTTGTCAGCATGTTTTAAAACCTACTTGGTCTTTCCTAACTGACCTTAACACAACCTTGGCTAATACAGGCTAACTTGATCAACCGTTTTGACAAATCGTAAAGGGAGCATTGTTGAAGTCTGTACGATTTGACCTCGCCCCAACTTATATAGCTAAATATTCAACCATATAATTACAAAGGTCTCATTACAATTACATTAATCAATGACAATAGGATTATTAATCTTTCTGAAAATCGATGATCTTCATATAATTGTTACACAAATTGTTCTTGGTTTTTGTTTAAACAATTATCTAATTGTTTGAATTTTAGGGCACCGTGCTGTTTCAATAACATTTTCACACCTTTTGTCAACGGATTTTACACTGAGGCTTTTACATTCGGTACAACATTAGGCCCAAAGTGGATTGATTTAATAATCAGAAATGTCCTGTTGACACTCGTTTTCCAGTTTTTACAGTTCTATACACATTAAACGTTTAAAAGTTTTAATATTGCCGTTTCATTTTTTTTTTTTTAAGAAACTTTATCAAAGATTCTTGGATAAAGGTGTTGACTAACAAACCTAACATAACTTTTATTGAAGACTGCAAGTAACAAGGCTGCATGCACGAGGATGAATAAAAATGAATTTCTTATTGGTAAGTTTATTACCTGGGATAAGTCTCGTGGTATAAACCAATCCTAACCTAATGGTATTCAGTTTTAACACTTGGAAAACTGTCAAGCTGCAACTGTTGCCCAACTCTCGGGTACCTATGTGCTGCTAGGTGAACCAAGACATAAAGGGTAACATGCCTAAACACCAGTGTCCTGCTGTGGGACAAACCTTTTGGGTGAATTGACTACATCAGGCTGGTGGGTTAGTATGGATATATTTTGTTGTAAATGGGGCAATGTGACCAACAGCCATTCTTGGGTAAAAAAAAATAGACCTTCAATTGTATAAGTTTCTGGTGCGCCCCCACATGAATTATTGCATCCAGGCATGGAGACCTCATCTTCAGAAAGACATAGCTGCTCTAGAGCCGCATGTCTTACCAGAGCTATGGAGCTATGTCTTACGACAAAAATCATACCAGAGCTTAGTCATCTCTCGTATCAGGAACGGTTGAGGGCCACAGGGCCAGTGTTTCCAAAAGAATTAAACAGTAGACATGGTTGGATATGTGATGCAGTGGAAGGTTTAAAAAAATATTGCCAAAAAATTAAAAAATGCCATTGTAGGAGAGCAGTAGTATTCTTCAATGTCCATGAATTGGTCTTAACGCTCGGTGGTTCCCAATTAACAAGCCACTGAAAATTGGGGAAGCTGGTGCTAGTATCAGGTCTTTGTTCTGTTATGCAGTCCCAATGGGGTGGCTGGATATCCAGGAAGCAGGTATGTCATTATAATGATGCTATTTAATAGCATTGAAAGGAATGGGGGTTATAATATAGTCTATATTATTCATTGTTATACTGTACCTTATAAATGAATGTTGTGGATATTGAAGCTATTAGAATTGAACTTGTTCCCCTGAACTCTTCTGGCACGTTGGCTTTATTCCATCGTATGGCCTCTTTTTATTTGTAGACTAATCATTATCTTGATTTTGTTGTGCAATGGTGGTATGTCCTCCTGTCAGGGTACTGGCACCCTAGGTGTTTGGACACTTCACACTGCTTGATATCTGACCACCTACATTTTTCCAATCAATATATAAATAAGCACTGCATCCATAGACATGACTGATGTCATTTTATAGCTTCTCTTCCCAGTCATACATATCAGTATTTCAAGGTATTTATTTTTCTAAGTTAGATTTAAGCACCAATAGCTTAAGTGGCTATATGCCAGCAAGTTTACTTTAAACTATTGTCTAACCAAACCTAGTTAAATCACCGAGTGGTATCCTAAAATGAGCTCTTTGCACTTGCTCTTCTGAGTTTAGGAAAATAGTAACTTTCCTCTAAGTGTCCATTGCAGCACTATAAAGAACTTGCTTGCGGGACAAAACTTACCGGGACAGAATATGGTTTCTGCTTCACTAGGTTTCCTTGGTACATCTGGCCTCATTTGCCCCAATTTCCTTAAATATTAATAAATTCAAATTTTGACAATTTCATATTAAATCTTTGAAAAAGGATGAGTTTTATGCTTGGGAAAGCTTGTGGGTTTTTCAGGGTATGAAAATAGTATTACAGTATAGTAATAACAGCATAGTACTGTACTGAAGATTGTATTAAAAATGCATGAATGATTTTTGTAGTAATTTTTACTTATTTCAGATCTGGAATGGAAGATAATTTATGTAGGAAGCGCAGAGAGCGAGAACTATGACCAAACCTTAGATACTGTTTATGTTGGGCCAGTGCCCGAGGGTAAACACATGTTCGTATTTCAGGTATGTATTGGCTGTGTTTCGGAGAACTTTTTAATTGGGTCTCCCTAGTAAGAGGGACTAGATGTCGCTAATTCTTTGCACGACACACCAAAGTGACACACAAGTTGTAAATATGCAGTTAAATGACATAAAACTGCTGTAGCTACTGTATTTTTAAAGTTGCCATGGAATTACAAATGATCTGATATTTGTTAATATTTTAAATGTGATTGGTAAATGTTGGTGGCTATGTTGTAACATTCGACATCTTCCAGGCTGATCCTCCAGATGAGAATAAAATTCCTGTTGGGGATGCTGTCGGAGTTACTGTGGTGTTGTTAACTTGTGGCTACAAGGGCCAGGAGTTCGTGCGTGTTGGTTATTATGTCAACAACTCTTACACAGATTCTGAACTGCAGGAAAACCCACCAGATGTTCCACAGTTTGATAAGGTAAGTGGGGTGACTCGAGCAGTTGCGTGAAGGCTGTTAGATCATAGAAATGTCACTAGGTATAATAAAAACAAAATGGAGAAGATTGTGAATTATAGAAAACCTGGTAATTGCCTCAAAATTATACCTGATGATCCAGGCTGTAAATGAGTGTGTGAATGAAGGAAATGTTACATATGCGCTTGGGTTTTACTGGACTGTTATACACTTGTCATTTATTGCACACCAAAATGGAATAACAATCCATTAATATGGATTTTTATTTAGTTCCAATGGGGTGGGGGAGCTGTTCCTGAATGAACAGTTTTGGTGCTTGGGAGTATTGTTGTAACCACGCAGTCTCCGTGGTGTAGTGGTAAGACACTCGCCTGGCGTTCCGCGAGCGCTATGTCATGGGTTCGTATCCTGGCCGGGGAGGATTTACTGGGCGCAATTCCTTAACTGTAGCCTCTGTCTAACGCAGCAGTAAAATGTGTACTTGGATGAAAAAACGATTCTTCGCGGCAGGGGATCGTATTCCAGGGACCATAGGATTAAGGACATGCCCGAAACGCTACGCGTACTAGTGACTGTACAAGAATGTAACAACTCTTGTATATATCTCAAAAAAACAAAAAACAAAAAAAAAACAAAAAAAAACAGAATTAAGAGCCTTGGATTACTGTTCTTTAGTAATCCAGGGTGAGAAGGGTGTGATCATATTTTTGTCATCCTATTACAGTACTCTAGTATTTGTATAATTCTTATTTGCTGTTTTCTATACATTTTTGTTCATGCTGTCTTCAGCCAACACAATTACATATACGGTAGAACAGCATTTTGTACATGGAAATATTTAAAATGTATTTACATTGTCACAGAAAAAGGATTTGATTCAAGGAATCTTCCTTGAATTCAATGCATAAGCAAAAAAAAAATTTGCTTGTGCATTCTTCCATTTCACCATGGCATATGATCATTAATGAGCAATTTGGTATCAAAATAAATAAATAAAAAAAATTATATATATATATATATATATTTTTAATAAAATATGCAGTATGATTATTCTTGAACCTAACATAAATCCTTTGTGGCAAGGACCAACCTTAGTAAGCCTTTTATAATAAGATTCACTTTTGGCTGTTCTGCGTGTTACTGTATAATTTTTTAAACTGTGGATATCGCTTGCCTTGTCCATCCCTCTTACCGTCGTGCACATCCTTGTTGAATGTCCTGACTTCCAGGACGAGCGTGTCTTTCTTTCCGACCGTCCCTCGCGGTCGCTTGTCCCTTGATAGAATTCTTGGTGAATCCGATACTTTTGATATCGTTCGCCTTATGCGTTTCTGTTCTCGTATTGGCATCCTTGGTGATATTTAGCGCCCTCTGAGTATTCCGTGCGTTTGATGGTGCTACATATCCTTCCCAGTTTGGTACCTTCTTTTGATAATTAATTACTTGCCTTGTCTTTTTGTTCTTGTATTGGCATTTTGAATGATCTTCAGAGCCTTCTGGATATCCTGTGACACAATGGTGCTATAGTCTTCTGGGTTGCCTTTTGATAATTGGTTACTTACCCCAGAGGTGTGGGTTATTGATTGATTGATTGATGAAGATTAAGCCACCCAAAAGGTGGCACGGGCATGAATAGCTCGTAAGTGGTGGCCCTTTTGAGCCATCACCAGTATCAATAGATGATACTGGAGATCTGTGGAGGTGCGACTGCACCCTGCGTGACGGAAGATGTCTTCCGTAATTTAAACAGATTGAATTGAGTGATGAAGAGGGTTATTGAGGTGTGAATTAGTCTGCTCATACTTTATTACATTATTTGGCAGCATTTTACGTAGCTAACATTCATTAAAAGTACAATATTTAACAAGGGTATCCTTTTTTAAGCAATAGGTGTGTACATCTTTAAAGTCTGCGTCTCAACATCTGCGTAGCTCCAGCTTTTCATCCATTTTTCAATTTATTGAATATTGCTAAGGCTTTTGACTGGTACAGTAGATAGATGAGGTTCAAACCTTTGTTTTAAGGATGAATTATTCTGTACCTAGCAAATGAAAACATTTATGGAAATTTGTGTATAATTAAGGATAGGTTTTCTTGAACTAGTATTTTTTACTGAAGTAAAGGTTATTTGCAATTCTTTAGATACCTGTAATCAAATTCACTTTCCTGAGGTTTTTGTTTATTTTGCAGCTCCAGAGAAACATTTTGGGGACTCAACCACGTGTCACAAAGTTCAAAATCGATTGGGATGATGCTAAGGACTCTGAAAACATCCCTCCCTCAGAAAATGCGAGTGAGGGTGCAAACACCTCTCAAAGCTCCTCTGACATGAAACCTGTCTTAGGAATGGAGAACAGCAATAGTGCTTGTGCCATGGAAGTTGCGTAAAAGTTGAATGTGTAGTGGGAATTTCATATTTGCATTGATTTTCATATTGTAAATGTCTCGTCTATGGAAGGTTCAGTTTTAAACTTGTAATGTACCTGTTCACACCCCTGCCATTAGACATTCTTTCATAAATAAAAAATATTTTAATATTTGCATTACTGTATATTTATAAGCATGTTGTACTAGACAAAATTTTGAATATTTTATGTTAATGAAACTGGAAGCATTTATATATATTTTACAAATATATATTTTATAAATTCACTTTATGGACCATACCTATGTTTGCTCGACTTAAATCTTCGTACCAGTGATGTTGATCGGGTCTTCGTACCAGCGATGATTGTGCGTGTTGATCGTGTCTCCAAGTTGGTTTAGTGAGACTAGTGAAATCTTGGGTCTTGCAACATTGTCCTTGGGAGGCACGTGTGCTCCAGGTCAGTGGAACATGTTGGTAGATGCTTTAATGATGCACAAGTGTACAAACTGAATTGGCTTAAACGTGTCTGATAAGACAATGCGAGCTTTAGAAATTGGCAGTGTAGATGTTAGTTCAAGAGTCCCGTTATGAAAGGTTATTGCTTTGTATATTAGTTCTTTTAATTAAATGTTTTCTTGTCCTTTATGCTTTCATTTATTCATTGTGTTGACCGAGTAAATATTATACTGTACAAGATAATGGAACAAATTTGAAGTTAGTGTGCATGGCATTGGGAAAGGGTGGGTGTGTGTACTTTGCATTCAGGAGGGGAGGCACTCGTGTGCACGCTTGGCATTGGGGACAAGTGTCCTTGGCATTGAGGATGGGGATGCGAGGGAGTGAATGCTTAGCATTGAGAGTATACCTTTTTATATTAAGTCGTACAGTTTGGAGGTAAATCACAACTTGTGGTACTACAGCCAGAGATGCTGCAGTGTGAAAGCAAAGTTTGTGTAATTGTGACCCCACATGCACCATGCAATTGAAGTGAGAATTAAAGATTTTTTAGCATGTTTTCAGAATGAGATTGTGCTTTGGAGTTAAATATAATTGGCTGAACTGCATGGTGTGACTAGGCCCTGAAGGTTATCTAATTGTGGAAATTGTACAAAATAAATAACTGGAAATTTAAAGATTTAAGCAATAAAATTGATGTATTACTAATAATAAATTTAACTATATGAATAATCATAAATGTACACAATTTAGCATCAATGATAAATTATAGAAAATTAAGTACTGTAGTTGGAAGTAAAAATTTAATATTGGCAAATTGTTGGTGTGACCATGTGATAGTACTGTACCATATAACACAAGATTGTGTGGAAGGTGATGATTACCTCCTGATACTCTTAAAGGTGAAAGCCAGAGCTAATTGGTTTAACAAGTATAAATAATAATAGGGTTTGTCAACATTAGCAGCAGCATGTATGTACTTAATGCTTGATTAACGCTCTTGCACTGCATCTATCTGCAATTTTTTTTTTTTTTTTTTTACATTTGGTTTTACCTATTTGTAGACTGGTGCATGTTAGTAATACTTTTAAATAGCTGCACATTCTTAGAGGTCAACAGTGATGTAATTGGCAAAGTTTATAATGTACCTTAAAAAATTAAAACTGGCATGTGTAATACTCCATGCATGTACAGTTTAGTGGTTACCCCAAATTTAGACCTCAAAATAATGGATCAAATCCTCTTAATCTTCCCTTTGAAATTTTTGATTTGTTCAAAGAATAATTTGAACATCGAAAGCAGCTTTGGTAAAATTACTTAAGACTATAATACTTTCAGGTAGTTTTGTTATAATTTTGCTATTCTAGCTCTTTAATAGTAAATATAAAAAAAAATTCCTAGGCATGTGCAGTCTTAAGTATTTTCAGTTTTCTTCATCCACATTATTTGGGAGTAATAACCATGCCTTATGGCAAGATTAGCAAGGGTACACACAAGGCAATGGTTGGATAAAATTTCTTACCATGGAATAAGTACGGCGTTATGAGGGATGTGAAGTGACTGGCAGAGGAGTACAGCATTACTAACATTGTTTAACACAGAAGCTGTTTATGGAGTTAGTGGTGCAAAGTCTAGCTGGAAATATGGGCAGGAACCATTGGTATTGAGAACTTCAAAGACCAGTTTAGTGTGGCTCCCAAGACAGTAAAAGACAAATGGCAGTACTGTACAGTACTTTGCCTATTTTGCTGCCTTTGGGTTCCCAAATCACCAGTCTACTACAAAAAAAGGTAAGGTAATTTTTTTTATTGTACATTTGTTGTAATTTTTATATGCTTCTATAGTCTTCATTCATGAAACCCCGTAGTAAATACAAATACAAGGCAGCAGCATGTGCTCCGCATGAGTCCATCTACATGGTTTGCTGCATTAATTGCAGTGGCAGCCACTTAGCATTTGTGTGTTCACCTTAAACTGAAACGGTGCATTTATCACCTTAAACACCAGGACAACATCCTGTTCTGAGGCAAAGAATCAACTTCTGGTTTGGATCTGCACTATCTTAAATGCAAAATTGTTGCTCTGATTTTGTATCATATAATCTACAATCATTTAGCAGAGTTAGCTATTACAAATAAATGTGCTATCAAATTTTACCTATTCCTGTGACTTCTCCTAGTGCATAACAAGAAATTGGGAAACTTTAGTAGGTTGTGTTGGTCACACACCATTAATTCTTGGGCACTTGGAGCAGACCTGAGCCTTGCTGTCAGAACCATGTTGTGCTGCTAGTTGTCGCACGCCTCTTAAAATGTCCCGATTTTCTGGACGGTGGGAAATTTTGCTTCCCCTCCCCCCCGCTTCCTTTAAAGTCTTTTTGCCCCTCATTAAGATTCTTCAAAATGAAAACCTTTTGGCATTGCTTATTTGTCATTCTGCTCTCATTGGCATCATGAATAATATCTAACAAGTTTTGGACGTGCTGTAACTACAGTAGTTACTGTATAGCCTTTTTGGGCTTTGCTATTTCATTCCCAAACCCCCTTTTTACTTGTACCATATTTCATACTTCACTGACATACTCATACCCTGTACATAAGGGGTCCAGGTCAGGTCAGTAAGTTTAACCATTCATTTTATTTTTATTAGGAAACCTAATTTTGTGTTTCTTATAAATGCCGTAGAATTTTGTCTGGTCTTTCCAATATCATAATTACTTTTCAGCATTATTTGTAACTGGTTATTATGTATTTTTTAAACTTTGGTTTCAGTAGCAGTGCATGTTATAAAGGTAAATTTCAAAAAAATACTGTGCAAATCTTAAAACATTGGTCTAGAGAGATGATGACTGGGGCTGCTAAATTGGTCATTTGTGCTGATTTTACTTTTGAGCATTCTGCCTCTCTCTCTTCTCGACCAGTCACTTTGCTTATTCAAGTGTCACTTGCACATGTTTGGGCTGGGAACAGGTCCATCACTTGGACCTAGCTTAACTCCTATACTAACATATCTTACTTACATTATACTTTTCACCTCTAGTACTACTTGTCCTGCTCATTATTGATTCACCTATACTATCATTATCTAACACTGCTCCGTGTATTTGAAATTTGCTGCTACTTGCCATACATTTCCCATTTTTATCGTTCAGTTCAGATTACTGTGTTGTCAGGAAAGGGATCTACAAAATCAACATCCCATTCTCTTCTAAACACCATGAACTTGTTTTTGTTACATTTAGCTTCATCTTTCATGCTCACATGATCAATTGTTCATTGTCTTTTACACGTCATCTTTTCTTTTTCATTCTCAGCTATGAACACCGCATACAAACATGTCGGTAACAATTTATCCCCATCATAGTCCACTTCTGCTTGTCTGGCTGTATTATAGAGAGCCAGGGACATTATGCAACTGTCTTGCCTGAATTTATCAGAGGTCCGCCAACTCGAGTAGCCGTGACAGGGACAGGCAGCCACAGCTTGTCACAGGCCTCAATATTTCTGATATTTTCCCATTGGATTTTGAACTGAACTATTATCTTGTCATTTGTGGCTTTGGCAGGTAAGTGATTCTATGGGTTTATTATCCTATGGATGATATTCAATTTGAATTAAATTTTATTCAATCAATTTAAGTAAAAATATAGTATACCAGTGAATGTGACTCGGTCTTGACAATACATCAGTCTGATTTTATTTGTATAACCTATCATAAAAATTATATAAGGATATTCTGCAAAGTCATAGAACTGAAATTAACGGTGTCAATTAAATTTTATTCGTCACACTATTGAAACCTCTGTATAATAGTGTATATAATTATAAGCTCCTCCACATATACATATTGATTACACAGCTGTATTACCCAACATGAATTAGATGATATGGCTGCACGTATATCTTAATCAATTATATTAATTATATTAAGTGCAGCATACAAGTTAAGGATATGATGATGTATTAGGGGAAAGCATAGTTATACTGTATTATGACGGTGTCACAAGCTTTCCCGTGATCTTCCTGTACTGCCCTAGTTCAGGTACTAGGGCTGTCAAGTATAGTTACAGGCACTGTCCCAAGCCGAACTGATAACAGCACTTGGTCTGCTAACATTACCTTGTTCTAACTACAACTGTCATTTGCCTGTCTTTGGAGAGAGTCAGTGACAGTACAGTACTGTACTTGCAAGTTAGACCATCTTCACAATGTTGCAGAGTTTTGCAGTAGCCACAACACCAGCACTGACCATTACTCACCCAACTCCTAATTAGCATATGGGAAAGGGCTACATCTACATTTTGGGGAGGAGGGAATTGCTATAGTGATGTATTTTCTTTCTGCTGTCTTGTAGATTACATTTAAGGAGAGGAGGCTGTGGGATACTGGTCCCACTAGGGATTTCTCCCTTATCCTATATTTATCCCAAGTTGGGTACAGAGAAGACCACCAATGCCTACACTACCCCATCCATAGGGTTACCCACAGCCTCCCTCTGAGCGAGCAAGGGAGGGAGGGAGGAAGTTCAGGTGACGAGCTCTCCGAGGAACTTGAGAGCGAGGATGATCAAGAAGGCTGTGATGATGAGTCCGGCCACTACCAGTACCAGCACCTGCAGCGCCGATGGGTCTGTCTCCGGTGTCTGCGACCACGTCAGCAGTGAACTCTGTAACACGATCATTATTAAAAGACATGAAGATGCTTTAATGATAGCATATACCACAAGTACTTGGTTATAAGGCGTTTCTATGCTTGAGGAAATTTGGTTGAATTTAATTTGTTGCTGCAGGTCCGGTTGTGTGAACCACAATATAATAATACATTTTGTTGATGAAAATATACTAAAGTATATATTATTTTGTATGACATTTAAAAATGTTAACACAATGTTTAGTTCAACATATTAAGGTCCCCATACCCATCATGTGTGTGAGTTGTAGAAAGGTTTCTCACATAATGGGATTATGGGCTAGACTACAAATGATCTTTAAGATAAGCACTTCTTTTTGTAATTACTTCACCATAAATGAAGTCAATTTATCTTATGCACTCTGCCCATCCCGTGGATGGGGGTAAATTGTTTACAACCACATTCATGAGGCAATTTCATTACACAAACTTTGGGATATATTGAATTACCAGAAACCTTAGCCATCACTTTGAAATGTTTTACATAACCATCAACAGCGTCGTCGCATCGAGCTACAGGCGCCGTTACAACGACGTCGCAGATGTCGCATTCGCCGTTACAACGACGTCGCATTTGCCATTACAACGTCAGTTTTACATAACCATCCGCAGCGTCGTCACATGGAGCCACAGGCGCCGTTACAACGACGTCGCATTTTCCCGGAGGAGAAAAAATGGGGGGCCCGGTCCTCGACCAGGCCTCCCATTTTTAGAAGGATGGTCTTGAAGATCGTAGAGTGTGGCCCTGGCTTTACAAGGCAGTACAAGTATATTATGTGTGAAGAACTCTTGCGGGTATAGCTTGCCAGGGGTGTGTGAGGTACACAATATTCACCTCTGCCTACGTAGATTATATCACTATATTGGCTAAGTGTAGGGAGGAGCAAGTCATCCAAGTCCTTGTGCTCACACTCGTACTCCCTGAAGGTCATGGGCTCTTTTGTATGCGTTTTATCTCCGACTTAATTGGCTGTTTTGAATACTGCACATTGTGATCACCGGGTTGTATGTCCAGATAATGGTGTTACTGCGATGTGTTTGTTCATGTGGGGTGTACTCACCTAGTTGTACTCACCTAGTTGTGCTTGCGGGGGTTGAGCTCTGGCTCTTTGGTCCCGCCTCTCAACCGTCAATCAACAGGTGTACAGATTCCTGAGCCTACTGGGCTCTATCATATCTACATTTAAAACTGTGTATGGAGTCAGCCTCCACCACATCACTGCCTAATGCATTCCATCCGTTAACTACTCTGACACTGAAAAAGTTCCTTCTAACGTGTGTGTGTGTGTGTGTGTACCCACCCAGTTGTACTCACCTAGTTATGCTTGCGGGGGTTGAGCTCTGGCTCTTTGGTTCCGTCTCTCAACTGGTGTACAGGTTCCTGAGCCTACTGGGCTCTATCATATCTACATTTCAAACTGTATGGAGTCAGCCTCCACCACATCACTGCCTAGTGCATTACATTTACTAACTACTCTGACACTGATACATAGCCTTCCCGGTTTGGTGCCTTCTTTTGATAATTATTTACTTACTCTGACACTGAAAAAGTTCTTTCTAATGTCTCTGTGGCTCATTTGGGTACTTAGCTTCCACCTGTGTCCCCTTGTTCGTGTATCACCCGTGTTAAATAATCCATCCTCGAGTGTGTGTGGGTGTGGACGCGCAAATATATTAGTGTTGGTAGAAATATTATAATAGGAGGTAATAATAGTGGTGGTAGTAGCAGTACTAGCATCAATACCAGTAGCAGCAGCAGCAACAGTAACAGCATCACGAAACAATGAAAGTAGCAACATAAACAAGCCTTTGACAAAAAAAAAAAAAAAATGGCGACACGCACTAAGGTTAAAAGATTTTGAACTAAACGCAAAAACCCAGCCTCATATACAATTACTCTGAGCATGGCAACAGGACGAGACTCGCCACAGTGACTCGACTATTACTCTCAGCTTTGAGGATACGCTGCCAACAGTTCCTTGGGGACTAGTGTCAGTGCGTTGCCTATTTGGGACCATGCCCAAGACATCCATCACAGCCTACACGCTCTCGTCACAACAGCTGACTAACTCCAGGGGCCAGATTCACGTAGCAGTTACGCAAGTACTTACCAACGTGTATATCTTTCCTCAATCTTTGACGGCTTTGGTTACATTTATTAAACAGTTTACAAGCATGAAAACTTCCCAATCAACTGTTATTATTATAAACAGCCTCCTGGTGCTTCGGAGCTCATTAACTGTTTAATAATTGTAAACAAAGCCGCCAAAGATTGAGAAAAGATGGACAGGTTCGTAAGTGCTTGCGTAACTGCTTCGTGAATCTGGCCCCCTAGACCTATTTACTGCTAACTGAACAGCGGCATCAGACGAGAGGAAACGTGTCCAACCATTTCTCGCCAGCTCCGGGAATCGAACTCTGGATCAGATTGTAGGCGAAAACGAAGCCACCTCTACTACGAGACCCATATAATGTATTGCGCCTTATTTATTTATATACAAGAAGGTACATTGGGATTGTGAGGATACATAGCATAGTAATTACATTCTTGTAAAGCCACTAGTACGCGCAGCGTAATTTCGGGCAGAAAATGTCGGAACATCTCATGGCTGACGCTCCTCGCGCCCAGCAAGACGACCATTACTGTTTTCTAGAGTTCAAACCCGTTCAAAACATCTTTGCAATTACTGCAAACTCGAGATCATTTTAATTAGAAAGCTATATTGATCGCGTGACGGTAACTTCAAGGCATTTAAGTGATCAATAACCCATTTGTACATAGCGAAAATGTTTTACTCTATTGAGAGGAGAGACCATGGCCTAATTTTTTTTATTAAATAAGGCTCCTTGTGGTTACCTTGCGATGATTTCGGGGCTCAACGTCCCCTCGACCTGGTCTCCTTTGGGGGAGGGGGGGGGGGTGACTATTATTATTAGTAGTAATATGACATCTTTTGTAACCACGTGGACCATCAAGAACTTGTAACCACGTGGACCATCAAGAACTTGCCTTGTTATACTGGCAAGTCCAAAGGAAAGGTTATCCAAAGGCGAGAGTTAACGCGTTAAAGTTGCACAGCAAGTGGGAGCTTCAGTCAAGAGAGCGTACCAACCCGCTAGGAATAGTCAAATAAACTTTTGATGTCAAGGAAAAGACGGCAGTTGTACAACTGTATTAATCTCTGGTGCGCCCCCACTAACTAGATAATTGCAAGACCTCAGCTTCAGAAAGACATAACCCGCAAAACACACACCAAAACTACGACGTTGGTACAACGTTCGAACAAGTTTTAACACCTAACCAGTTATAACAACCAATATAGCAAGTTGTGACAACGTTCTAATACGTCATAAACACGTTAAGCCAAGATGTAACAACTTTATTACAAGTTGTAACAAGCGGAAAATAGAGACAGTTACGGTTTGTGTTTCCAGGGAAGCTTCTTTGGAGAAAGTTCAACACTGGGCGACAAAAATCATTCCAGAACTAAACTAAACTAAACTCATACCAGGAACGGTGGAGGGCCTCAGGACTAACAATGAAAACCCGACATGATAGGCCTGATCTCATCGAAACTTTTAAATTAATGAATAACTTCTCTTGAGGTTATCTTGAGATGATTTCAGGGCTTAGTGTCCCCGCGGCCCGGTCCTCGACCAGGCCTCCACCCCCAGGAAGCAGCCCGTGACAGCTGACTAACTCCCAGGTATCTATTTACTGCTAGGTAACAGGGGCACCAGGTTGAAACTCTGCCCATCGTTTCTCGCCGGTGCCCGGGATCGAACCCGGGACCACAGGATCACGCGTCCAGTGTTCTGTCCGCTCAGCCACCGGCTCCCTAAACTTGGAGGATAGTGATCCCGACAACTTCTTCACAAGGTCAGTTGTAACACAAAGAAGGAGCAACGGTTTCAAGTTCAACAAGCCACAATGAAGGATAGAAACAGATGTTTTTTTACCCATAGGGATATAAACCCATGGAACCGCCTACCCACCAAAGCCGTAAATTCCAAATCTCTTCTGAATTTTAAAATCCAGCGCAATAAAATCATCAGAACAAATGCCGGGACCTTTGACAAGCCGCCGACTTTCTATCTCGCCGAGGCCACTAGAGAGATAGTAGCCCTCAGGTAAATTTAGGTCAATAAAAGCCTGAAGAAACCGAATGTGACATGACTGGAAGAGAGACGATAGAGGGAGCCATGGTCACCACTGGTGGAGACACCGAAAGCGCTACAGTATGTTCTAAATCATTTCTCAGTATCGTAAAAATTGAATAAATTAAATGTGGTGAAAAGTAAATCCAATACAGCCTAAAGAGCTCGGGAACCTGCACACACCGGTCGTCCGGAGACACAGAGGTAGGATCCAAGAGCTGAAGTTCACACCCGGAAAGCACAACCAGGTGAAAAGACTACAAGCACAGGACACTCACAAGTAATGACGCCACACGCTAGCAGGCCAGAGACCGCTGGCCAGACGAACACACACACACACACACACACACACACACACACACACACACACACACACACACACACACACACACACACACACACACACACACACACACACACACACACACACACACACACACACACACACACACACACACACACACACACACACACCGACACACACACACACACACACACACACCGACACACACACACACACACACACACACCGACACACACACACACACACACACACACAAAGGGAATGCATTAGGCAGTGATGTGGAGGGAGGCTGACTCCATACACAGTTTCAAATGTAGATATGACAGAGCCCAGTAGGCTCAGGAATCTGTACACCAGTTGATTGACAGTTGAGAGGCGGGACCAAAGAGACAAAGCTTAACCCCCGCAAGCACAAATAGGTGAGTACACGCACGCACGCACACACACGCACACACACACACACACACACACACACACACACACACACACACACACACACACACACACACACACAC